TCAGAGCTCCTCTCTTTCTTTGTTACCGGTGATAAATTTCTGTTTGTAAGATTTCCTTGGGAATCAAGATATATATGTGTATATAATTTTTCCATCTCCTGTGAGATTTTTTTTCTTTTCGTAGCGGAGGGTTGTAGGGGGACAGTTCGGGTCCCGAAATTTCAATTTCTTTCGCTCTGTCTTTTCCTTTTTTCTTTTTTTTTTTGGTGTGCGCCTGTATTTTTTAACCCGTTCCTCCTTCCTCTCCCCCCCCCGCCCCCCCCCCCCCCCCCCCCCGCCCATCAGCTGGTGGAACACAAATGAAGATGCATCTGGTGTTCAGCTCTTTCTGGGGGGGTTGTTTTTAATTCATTGTTATTTTGGAGTCAGATTTGCATCACCATAAAAGGTGGATTCCCCCCCTCCTCCTCAACTCCCTCCCCTTCGTTAATTGCATTTTTGTTTTTAACCATCCGGTTTGGAAAATGCGTTTCCCTTTTTTGTTGGTGGCTTCTTAATTTTTTTCCATTTTTAATTTTTTTTTTAAGAAAATGCATCAACAATCTAACCCCTCTAAATCGCCCTGTGCAGTTTCTCCCACTTCTTTTCTGTCTCAGTTGCGAGGAGATGTGGGGTGTTGAAAGGGGATGTGCGGAAAATCTGGTTTGTTGCGCACGTCTGAATTTGTTTAAAGGGGTGAAACATTTCTTTTCTCGCTGCTGTTGCTGCTGGGGGGGGAGGTGGGGTGGAGAAGAGAGCCAGGTAGGTTTGTTCTTCCAATTTGATCTCCTTTTCTGATCGCTTTACTTGAAAGTAAATAATGAGGCAGGAGAGCATTAAAAGGTGCCGAGGAGCTGCGTGTACAATGGGTTTAGCGGGGAGGCTGGGGAGGAATGGAGAGCAGAGCGGTACGCAGCTTCCCTCCCTCCCCTCTTGTATTTATCTATCTCTCCATCCTGAGGAAGCTGGCGGAGAAATCTGGCTGCATACTGAACAGTGGCAGAAAAAAATGAAGGTATCCAGGGAGCGCAGGCATTTCAGCGCACAGGCGCTGAGCCTCAGCTGCAGGCTTGCAGGAGGGGGGTTTCGCAATCCCCGCACTCCTCGGGAAGGTGTCATTCGTGGGGGAAAAGCAGCCGGGGAGACTGTCCTCTGCAAGGGGGAGTTCAGAAAGTAGCGGGCAACGGAATGGGAAACCAGAACACTTACAACAAGATAAAGCCGACCCCAAGCCAAGCCCCCAAAGCCGGGATGAATTGATACTGTTTTCTGAAATCTTGCATTTATGTCGTGTTTAGCTTGGTCTTCCCCCCCCACCCCGGTCTCTCTCTCTCTCTCCCTTTTTGGCATCTGTCAGGAGAGTTGCATTTCAGGATGGATTGGAGGTCTGTGCCAGGCAAGGAAAGAGAGATTGGGAGAGAGATGGGAGGGGAGAGAGGGAGAGAAGGGTTTTCTGACACTGCTCAGCTGGAGTTTATTGGGTTTCATGCTCTTGGTGTTCAGAGAAACGTTTAGATCCTGAGTGTAAGACAAACAAACAAACACAAAAAGCAGAGAGGCTGCAACGTAGTTGTGCTCCAGAGTTGCAGCGTCTCATTAGCACAGTGGTTTTTAAGACTGCAAAACGGAGTGGCCTGTTTGTCCTTGCCAGGCTCACCCAGGCAGCCTTGTAACGGATGCATGTGCAGGACAAAAAGAGGGGAAACACATGGAGAGAAAAGAGCAGCTCTGGACCTTTCTTCAGTGGTGGTGGACAGAACAAACTTGGTAGCTGAGCTCACTTGGGTGGACAAAGCAAAAGAGGCGATTATGTAGAGAAGAGGAGGCTGAGCTGTTGAGCTGCTCTGTGCAAAGAAACGTTATTTTGGTTTGATTCAAATTGCTGATTTTCCAGCTTAAGATCTTCTTTTTTTAACTTGAGAAATCTGTTTTCAAACTAGCCCTGCATTTTGCATTTGAAGGAAATGTGAAAGGCGAGAGCATGTGAAAAGCTCGGTGATAGCAGTTCTGCAGAAGGCGGCAAAGCAAGAACATTTCTGTAGAGCAGCAGCAAAGATTGGGAGGGAAAGGCACAGTAAAATCACACAATTCCAGGTAGAGAGCCAGGTTTCCCAAGGAGGGTCTTCAGTACCTGGTCAACAGGTTCCCTAGGAAGAGTAATAATTTCCTTTATTGCTTTGTATTTGTACGTAGTAATTAAAAATAATAATTTAAAAAACACAATTTTTTGCATGTCAAAGTTTAGCAAATTGCTTCAAGGAGCTTCTCTTAAAATGCATTTAGATTTAGTGCAATTAATGCACTTTTTCCTACAGAAAAAAACCCACACCAATGTAATCAACTCTAATACAATGTAAGCTGTGACTGAAGAATTAGAGAGGAAATTATTATTATTTTGGAGATGGCTGATTTTTTCATAATACCCGCATAGTTGTGCACAGAAAACATGCTTTTAAAAGACATTACATGTGTTAGCTTTAAATAGGACAGGGGACAAAAAAAAGGCTGTGTGCTGTCGACTTCCAGGTTGCCGTTCATTTGAATATATTTGTACTGGACTTACAAGACTAAAAAAAATACTGGCATGTTTTCATAGTTTCTGATCTTTTAAAATATTTTTAAAAACTGGTGCAGGGTGACTAGATTGTGGATCTAGGTTGTTTCGTCGTTTTTGACTGATGTGCTCAATGGCTTTAATAGATGTACAACGGGTGAGAAATCATTTTGCATTTTTTTGCTGGTCGGCAGATGCAGAGCATATTTTGTCAGGCTTATTTAAATATTGAGAAATAAAAGTCTTCAAGATTCTACAACCTGGCTGCCTTTAATAGGAATGGTTGGAGCCCTCGTCTTGCGCAAAATGTATGTTTCTCTGCAGAACAAAGGGTTGTCTTGTGACATATTTGACAATAATTATGACTTAGAGGAGTGTGCGCTCGTAGAAGTAGTACAAATTATTGATATCAGTTACCGACTTCAGTTGACACCTCTTCAGCGGCTCTTCCCGGGGCTGAGCTTGCTGCTAGCAAATCTTTGCCCTTACAAAATGCCTCGCACGAGACTTTTGCTTCTCTTTCACATTTTCTACCTGGATTGCTTCGCGCTCTGTGGTGTTTGTTGATGGAAAATACGTTCCAAAATAAACTTCGCTGGCTTTTTCAGTTGCCTCGCAAGCCTGCCTTGTGCCCCCGGCTGCAAGTGGCGGGTGTTGACGACTGGGGGGAGCTCATAGCCTGTGTCATGGCAGGGATGGCTCCGGCCCTGCCGGCGCGGCTGGCTGGGGTGGTCTCCCCCCGGAAAAAACAACCGCCGGCTCAGGCGGTTTAACGTTGCTGCAAAATGTTTTCAGTGTAAAGTTGTACTATTGATTTTCATGCGAAGATCTATACAGCGCTAGCGGAGAGGGGCTGTGAGCAAGACAAATCTATTTTTAGCTAAATCACGGCTGATTAATTGCTTCAGGAGGACAGGCGTTTTTAATTAAAATTAGTTTTTAACAATGCCTTTCATTGTCAACATACAATGTTTAAATTCTCAATTCGTTGTTGTCAGATAGCGATCGGGGTAATGATACCTGTACATGAGCGAGTCTCTGTGCGTGGGGGGGAAAAACCCACGGAGATCCGTTTGTTTGTTCCAATGGATGTAAAAACACAGAGCGAGGAAGCTGGAGTTCTAGAAGAAGGTGTGTACAGCAATAAAGCAGACATACACGTACATAATTTGGCGTTGATTACATGTCAGAAAGCCACATGTATCCCTGTCGAGAGGATTTGATATTAGATAGTTTACCGTACTTTGATCCTCAGGTCCCTACAGCAAAAAATCTGCAGTTCCTGCAAATGAAAATAAGCATTTTTTTTTTTTCTAGAGAAATAAACACAAAATCACATCAGTAGAAGTTGCTGCTGAGAGCTCACAGGCTGCTCTGCTGGGCTTGTGCTGTTCTCTGCTGCAGTCGGCTTGCGCATCGTGGACGGACTTTAGCGGGACGCTTTCTTGCCCAAACATATAATTTTGTGACATACACACGGGAAGCTTTGATCAGTTATTTCACCCAACCTGAGAAATTCATCAAGTTATGGTATTGTTAACATAACACAAGCGTCTTATTTTTAGGGCGCAATATGTGGATGGAGGTTATCCCGTGACAGGAAAGCGCGCTTTATTCTAACCTGAAAGAGAAGTAAATTAAGTCAGACAAAAGATCAGGGCTGTCATCAGCTGTACAAAAACCCTTCACTCTTGGGTAGAGAGGGCCAGCAATTTGTCTGATGATTTCTCTACTTCATTTAATGTTTGAATCGAGCTAGTTGGAAGCATATAGACAGCAGCCACCTCGTTTAACAGACTGGTAAGCTGAAAAGCACAGTGCCCGGGCCGCTGATGGTGCTAGTGTTCCCCAGCCACGGGGAAGAACTTTCCTTCTCCCCTCCTGAATCCTCAAACTTCGCTGGTTGTGGCTTTCCTTCCATTCCATCACTGTTAACTTTTACCAAGCGAAACAACGATCCCCCTCTCCTCCTCCCCGTCGCCTCTGCCTACCCAGCGCATACACACCCACGCTCCCCTTCCTCCCGCTCCCTCCTCTGCCTCCCACCCGTCCCACTCCCCCAGGATGAAACCTGGTTGAAAAGTCTCCCCGCGGAGACCTGCTACTCCAAAATGGCTCTCCGTCTCCTCGCCAGAGCATTTCCTCCTTTTTGGTTGCAGTTCGGTTTCTCCAGGGTTGTGTTGCAGTTGTCTGTTGAATTTGGTCTCCCCTTGGTAGCCTCCAGGGAAAGCACGCGGAAAAATAGACGGGGGCTGGGGGTTACCGCCTGCTTTAAAGTTAGCGATACTGTAGAAGCGCTTGGTGAAGCATCAGTATTGGCTGTAGACGGATTTATACACATGTATCTTTTTAACGAGGGAGGGAAAAGACATCAATAACTGTGTGCATTGATAAATGCGTGATTCATTCAGCTGCTCTTACTACAGCACCTTCCTCTCTCGTGTTTATTTACTTTCTTAAAATGTATCTGGGCAGGCTGCACACCATTCCTCGGCACCCACTGTTACAGCCTCAGAGGCAGTTGTGTGTTCAGCTCCTGAACATCAGTTAAATTTGCTTGCTGTCTGCCCTCCCTCCCGAAAAGCTGTTGCTTGCTCGGTAGTGTAGACCCTTGCTGGAGCTTTAAGTAGCAGCTTCTTTTTTTTTTTCTTTTTCCAAAGGATATATAAAAAATGCCTAAAGCAGGCTATTCGAAAGCAAATTAAAGCAGAGGGACACACTTCATGCGTTGCAGGCACGCGCCAGTAGAAGGGGGTTAGAAGAATATCATCATTTTACTGGCAAAAGTGACACCAGATCGGGGATTTGATTAATGGTGCAGCATTCACAGGGACTCGGTTCTGTATTTTTGACATATGCAAGTCTTTTGTGTAGTTGCCTCAGTGCAAGAAATTCCTTTTTTTTTTTCCTGGAGCAGCTGATAATTTGTGTGTGTGCTGGATATGCCCAAGGTACTTTCCAAAGACTAAGCACTAGACAGCACAGTATAAAAAAGGAATCCAAAGTTAAGGGAGAGGAAAAAAACACACTGGTTTACTTAACTTTTTTATGACCCCTTTTACTAAGCCACTGGAAGAAGCCATAAATTCGCTGAATGTTATAATGAATATGCTTCAATGAAAGTAAAAAAAAAAGGCTTAAGAAAATTGTATATGAGCAACAGTGTGCCATACACAATTGAGAAACACAGTCTCTTTTGAGCATGATATTTAAGAAAAGAACAGAGCTGTTGTGTGTTTAATACATGTTCAAAACTAATTACTTAAATTTGATCATGCCTTTTAAATCCTTGGGTAAGAATCTGTTCTTCCAATATCCTTTTCTACGCCAGTTAAAAGCCTGTACCCAAATACTGCTCCTTCTCCTTTTGTGGCACCGAGCGTTCCTTTCTCTCCTTGGTTGTCGTTGAGTTTTAAATAAAACAAATGTATTCACTGGGGAACAAAGAATGCTTTTATATCACATCATCACATCCCATTTTATCTGCGGAGATTTACAGCTTCTGCAGTCTATAGAATAGCCTATGCATTTTCTGCTCTCAAAAGCAGTAAATATTTTTTTATGAACGTATAGTTTACTTAAGAAGAGACACGCCACTCCCTTCTTTAACACTGTACATAGTTTCTGATGAAATAACATCTGACAAGTGTTGGAGATTCATGCAGATCCTTGGATATTCTTGGCTTTTGTTCTGTTTGGGTCCGGCGTGGTTATTGTGTTATTTTCCTTCTTCTTTTCCCTAAACCCTGACGCGTTGCCCGGCTCTTTGTGGCGGTGCTTGGGCTTGCTCCGTCTCAGGTGTGTGCAGAGGGTTAAACTGCTTTCTGAGAGATTCGGGCTACTTCTGCAAAAGGTGCCTGATGTACCGGCGTTGCAGGAGAGTCCTCTAACTCACAGATGTGCGTGGGGCTTGCTAAGGCATTGGAGGAAAACAGGTTATTTCCCTCCACCCTCCCTCCACCGCTGGGTCCCGGTCCCCTTGCTGTCGGTACCCAGCGGGGGCGGCTTGGTGGGCTGTGCTGGGGCGGTGGGCTCCATCCTGCTGCTGCAGGCAGGTGTCAGTGGCCAGCCTGCCCCGGCCACCACCACCCCGCCGTACGGTGCTGCTGTCTGGCACGCGGGGACGGCGGGCTGGAGCGTGGCAGCGGATGACGGGACGGCGGCGGCTCGGCAGCTGCACCGGGGCCACGCACGGCACGGCGGAGGTTCTCCACTGCTCTGGCTGCCTTTGTGCACTTTGCACATGCCTGAGAGTCGCTCGGAAAGTAAGGCAGAGCTGCAGGCCCCTGTGTTTCTGGGACTTCCCGATCAAGTTGCCTCTTTCGGCCATCTCATCCTCAGACTTTTATTTAAAAAAATATAAAATACTCTGAACAATTGTTTTTTGGTCCTCAGAAAAATTAAAAATTGATGGCAGATAAGCAGTGCCTAGTACCGCTGAGTGTAATGCTGATGCAATATGTAGGCATAAGCTCAACTCTGCACCTTGCAGCTGCAGGGAGCTGCAGGGAGGCTCTGAAAACAGGTTATTGATAAACTTCGACGGCGAGAAGCCGCGTCACCCGCTTTAAGCAGCGTTAGTCTTTGTGCAGCAAGGATCCTGACATCGATCTCGGCGATAACCCAGCTAGAGAGCGTGTGATCCGAGCTGTTTCCGTTAAGCGTGTTGATGTTACAGTAAATGTGACATGTGGGTGTTGATTGAAGGGACATCATTTTCAGGCCTGCTTTGGGCCAACACCCTGAAAAGCAAGTCACTTCTTTGTGCTCGCTCTCCAACTAGGCTGAGCTCTTTCTGGATGTGCCTTCAAAACAGCAGTGACTGTGTGCGGAGAACAGCACGCTCGGTGCGCTGCGGCACGCTTGTGGGAGGCTTCCCGTGCCTGGGCGCCAGGAGCTGTGGCCCCATGGCAGATCCCAGGCAGGCCCAGCTCGTCCCAGAGTTGGCTGGCCCCTGGGGTAGCCTGTGCTTCGCCCCCCAGGTGGGCACAAGGGTGGGCAGTGGCTGCAGTGGGGTGCTGGGACAGGCAGGGCACCCACCCACCATCTGCAGCGAAGGCACTGGCAGCACTCGCCTTAACCCTCCCGTTATCGATCTGTGCAGAAACCAACTGCGGAGGGGAGGTTTCACACGCAACGCTTTGGCCCGGCACCAAACTGATCCCTCTTCCCCCTTTCTCTGCCTCCTTTTGATACAGCGGGACGGGAAAAATAGGGAAGACAATAGGTTGGCAACTTTCAGATGCCTTCTTACCTTGGTTCTGCAGTGCAAAAAAAATACAAGAAAATAAATTACTGCTGCCTGGACCCAGCCTTATGTAAACCCCGTGAACAAGGATCCACGGTTTTGTCTTTAGAGGCCTTGGAAATGATTTTTGGTAACGCAGTCTTTTTCACTATTAGTGGGTACAATTTTGAGACATCTGACAGGCAGAAAGTAGGTAGCATGCGCATTTGCTTTAATACTGGGCATGAGAGTATTGTTTGCATGGGGCACATATGCTCTAATGATGTCACCACGCCTAAGCAGGAGCGCTGGCGGTTTTGCGACAGTGCCGCTATGGAATTAAGGAGTTTGTCCACTGTATTTTGGCGTGCTAGGCAGCCAAAGAGCTTGGAGGTGCTGCTTAGAGTCCAGCCAGCAAGTGTAATGCTTTTCAAAGTAAAGCAAATGATTTAGATTGTCCAGTTGCATTAATTTCATGAAGCCATTGGATAACAATGGTGTCACTCACGTCCCCATAGATAGCTCACGTCCCTGACTCGCTGTGCTCCCTCGGCAGGCAATGCCAAGGCAATCCTCTTTGGAGGAATCTCTGGGTGCAGGGAAAATGCCGGGCACACCTTAACACACCTGGAAGAACCAGAGCACGAGTCCTGGCTGGAAATAGCTCGTTTGCATTTTTTTTTCCTTTTCCCACGTAAGGGAGATGAGATGTTTTCCATTCTCCTTTTTTGTGTGGCTTGATTTTTCCTTCTTTAAAAAAAAAATTAATTAATTTTAAATAAATACTTGCGAGGAAACACCCTCCTCCCCCCAAACCCAGCTACCAACAAACAGCAATAAAACCACAGAGTTAAATTCAAATAATATGAAGCGACTCATTTGAAACCCACAGACACAAGTGGAGTCAGAACTTTAGATTGAGACTGGCCTAAATTGCCCCACTGGTATTAAAGGACTCCTTAAACAGCCAAAGATCTTGGCTGTTGTATTAACCAGGCATGACCTGATGCGTTATGGGCTGGACTTGCAGGCTTTTTTCTCTTTTCCTTTGTGGGTTTTAAATCTCTCCTGTAATATTACTTGAATGTAGGTTTTTAATGGCTTAATTGAGTTGTCAATAGGAAGCCTTTTTTTTTTATTCCAAGTAAAAAAAAAAAGCAAATTGACGTGGATAAAATGCATGTGAAGATCTACTCAGTATTTTGTTTTTCATTCTTTTATGTCTGTTTTCCACATCCCGAATAAGGGGATGTAATATAGCTTCTGCATTGTTGGGTGTACGGCTGGTGTCATGCTTGATGATTTATTAAGCTCAAATCAGAAATAGAGTCGAGTAAAAAAAATCTTTTGATAGTTTGAAACCCAATTACTACTGATCATGAGGGCTCGGCGTACCAAGAAAACGAAAAGCTGATTTTCGGTAATGTGACGACTGCCAAAATACGAAGGAATACCAGATGTTATTTTTAAAAAGTGCCATTGCAGAGTCCTTGGAAAGAGAGAGTGAGCGAGTGTAAGTGAATAGGCATATGTGGATTTAACTAATATTCAAATGAAGTGTAGAACTGAAAAGAAAGAATTCGCAACAGTTTAGCTGTTTAAACCTCCTTTATGTTTCCACAGACGCCTGGTCAGGACCCTTATCAAACATAGCAGTTTTGCTACGTTTTCTGAAGAGCACAATTTAAATAGCAGGAAAAAAAACCCCCAAAACCTCACGCCAAAAAGATAATAAAGTTGAGATCCGTGCTTTTCTTTTTGTTTGTTATATATATATAAAAATGCCAAAATTCAGCCTTTGTAATTTGAGAGACAGACTTTAATCTGAAGGCTTTACAGGAATGTTAGGTGAAACTACTAACAAACATTTTCCCCCTCTGCCACCTTTTTTCCTTACGACCCTTGGTTCAGTTCCTGTTTTCGTGTTGTCTTTTCCAGCTCTTTGTCCCATCTCCCGCGTGTGTATCTGCGTGCCTGTGTGTGCCTCTGTGTGTGGGGTTTTTTTTTTTTAATATTTTGACACTCTGCTCCCCCTTAATAGGAATTCTTCCTAGAAATAGCACGCACATTTCTAAAGGACCCTTTTCACAGTCCTTTTCTTTTGGCTCTAAAATGATGTATATGTAATTGGTAATTAAAGGTGCAAGCTCTCTTCAATATAAACAATATTGCTCAATGTTAGATCATTAAAGGGAACCGCAGTACTAAATAATTACCTTTTGCATCATGACACACTGTTCGCAGGCACCCGCTCCCTTCCCAGCAGTCCCTGTTCAGCGCAGGGTTATGGTTACATTTTCACTAAGGCAAGGAGGCATCTTTTCATGACATAAATTGGTGAATTAATTACATAGTGTTGTCTTCAAACTCCTTTTAAACTTAGATTAAGGGGAAAAAGGTAATTAATGGTTTTCAGAACAAGTATTGTGCTGTGTGTTTGGTAAGCTTGGTGTGAGTTAGGAAACCAAAGCCTTCCCGTGCCCATCGTCCGCTCCAGCAGGATGGTCCGTGCTCGGGCACTTCTCTGGGGTCCCAGTCCTTTTCCTGCTGCCGCTGGTGCTGCTGCTGTTAGTGAGCTCTGATGCAACTTGTAACACAGCTGGTAGATACACCGATCAATTATTTATTCTGCAAGGCGAAAATGGGGGCAATTCTTTTTCTAAACTGCCTTTTTCAAGGCTCAACCATTTTTGTTGTCAGGTAATACATTTCACCTTCTGCCTCTTGTCCCTTTCCTATGTGTTTTTTTTGCAATTTGGTGAAGAGTGGGACAAAACTCCTTTTATTTTCGGCCAGGAGGAGAATCCAGATCTGGATTATAACATATGTTTATCTCAGTCTCACTTCTTTGAGATATTTGTGTGACTTGCTTTCCCCAGAAAATCCATAAGCAAACCGCTTGGGCTAATAGAGAACATTTTTCCTCTTATTCCTTTAATCCTGATTCGATTAGAGGTCTCACTCGCTGATTTACATACTGTTAGTTCCTCTGTTTTGTTTAGCCCAAATCCTATAGTACTTGCAGAGGCAAAACAGCCTTATGCAAAAGTCAGTGGAAATTTTGCCCGAGTAAAGACCAAGGTTTGTATGATTTGGCAGTTACACAGCAGAAAAAGAGAAAAACCAAAAAACACATTTTGCCCCCAAAAGGGATTGTGATCCATAATTATTTTATAATATAAGAATTATCTCCGAAACACCCATTAAAAATGCACTATGTTTTATTAATTGTGAAATGAGAAGTTACTTATTTCTTAGAAACTGATGCAGGTCACTCAGAAATGTTTTCGCAGTCTTTGGGGGTAATGGTATGAAATCCATCACATCCGTCGGCAAGTTTTAAACAAAAAACTTTTATTAACCTATATAGCAACTGCAGGGGTATTTGACATCAGGAAAATGAGTGGAAGATTTCAGGCTCAGCCAATATTCCAGTATGTTAAATAAGTGCCTTATTCTCTTTTCCACTGTACACACTTTTGAAACCCCTTAACTTTTCATGAGACCGAATCCTGATTACCTTACTCTTGCAAACATTTTGCTGTAGTTCGTGCTAATGGGTGGTCGTTTAACCTTGCCGGTATCTCTGTAATGGGACAAGGTGGTATTAATTTTGTACGCCACGTGGAGCCTGATCCGGCTTGTTTGGAGCACGCAAGCACTTTTTCCCCCTCTCTCTGAAATAGGAGGAGACATTCGGGTGCATAGGATTTGCTGGATGTGGCCTTGGCCAGATGGCTGGGAGATATGGTGGGAATGAGAAGGTGGGATAAAAAGAGAGGAACTATTTCAGAAAGTGACTTGGGGCTTGAACATTTGCAAAATGGCTCTTTGCTGATATCCTTGCAGAGCTGGCAGCAGTGGGAAGGAGCTGTCAGGAAAGCTATGCCAGGTCAGCCTTTCCATTTTGTTTCAGGCAGGCTTGGTTGCAAAATATATTGAAATCATTCTGGGAGAGCAGAAAAGCTGAAAAATAAAAGAAAGATCTAATCAGGCTTGGCTTCTTTGGGGAGGTGGGGGGAGGCTGGGCCTCTTGTGATGCATCCTTCAGAGTCTGTGAACATTCAAAGCAATCTCTTTCTCTTCTTCCCTCGTCCCTTTCCTCCCTCTTTCTCCTTGTCCATGTAAAGCAGAGGCTGACCATGTGGAACCGGCACTCGCCGACGAGGATGAGAGCCTGGCAATAACAGAGCCAGGCGGCATCAGCATCGCCGCAGGCGGGACAGACCCCGACTTGTTAACCTGTGGACAGTGTCAGATGAACTTCCCGCTGGGAGACATCTTGGTTTTTATAGAGCACAAGAGAAAACAGTGCAATGGCACTGGTGGTGCCTGCTATGAAAAGAGCATGGATAAGAGCAGCCCTCCCCCCTCCTCACGCGCCGAGCTCAGGAAAGTGTCAGAGCCAGTGGAAATCGGGATCCAAGTCACACCCGATGAAGAAGACCGTCTTCTCACGCCTACAAAAGGAATTTGCCCCAAGCAGGAGAACATTGCAGGTACAGCATGTTTTACACTCAATCAACTGCCTAGGTAATCTTTTAACGAGAGCCCTCTAGAAAGTGCCATGAAACAGAGGCTTCAATAACAGGTCTTTATAGGAGCCATCAGTCTGGAGGATCCTCATGGCTACCCGGGGCTCAGCAGGGCTGTCCACCCCACGTTTAATTCAGTGTAGCTATCTGCGCAGGGCCAGCTCCCAGAGAGACAAGCCTCTTGATCCCCCGGGAGAGCCAAGGCGCAGCCTGTACACATAGGAAAAAGCAGAAAGTTGGGGTCAGAAACCATTTCAGGAGCGTCCTTAAGCAGGTAGCGGTGGCGGAGGGATAGGGGCCTTTGGTGAGATGCTCAGTTCAGTCCAGTTCAGATTCCCTTTGTCACATGCAGACCCACTAGGAAGGACCAAATCTCGACCTCCCTGAAGTCAGTGGAAAAATCTTCCCACTGACTGCAGTGGAAACAAGATTTGTCTGTGAGGGCTAAAGCCGGGGTTCATTAAGTCCTTGCCTTGTTCCTTCCGCTGGGGTAGATGTCAGCTTCCTGGTCTGCATTGCTGCCTGTGCTGCCTGTCCTGGGTCCCTGCAGATGGCTGGAGTTGGGTGGGTGACACCTCCGTTCACATGCACGCCCCAAATGGGGCTTTTGAATGAAGAGACAAGAGCACAGGCTGGCCTGGGTGAGGAAATTGTAGGCATTTCTTTTTCTAAAACTCTCATATGTGGTGCAGTTAACATTTACTCAGAGGATCTCCCCTGCTCAGAGGTGGGCAGGCGGGCGATGGTATCCCCCTGGGCGAGCTGCTGTGCAGCAGTTCCTGCAGAGCACCCGGCGTGGGGCTGCATCCGTTGTGCAGAGCATTTCTCCCCTCTGCAGCAGTGTGTTCCTCTGCAGTGGTGAAAGGACGGCTCCACTCCTTGCTAGTGAGTAGGGGTTTTATGTTACACAGCAGGATCTCCCCTCAAACGGGCCTTTTTTGTTCAAATGGACTGTATCCCATACAGAAGACCAGCGGCAATTTGTCTTTGCTGCCACTATGCCAATTTCTCTAGGAATTGTCCTATGGGATCAGATCTGATGGCCTGTAGTAGAGATGTTCCCATGAGGGGATCCCCAGAAGACTTGTGAGAGGCTCCTATCTTTACAATTGAAGCTTAAGAGATTCCTGCTTTTAGCATTGGAGGTCTCTGAGTCAGTCCCCAGTGTCTCTAACGGGCTTGGCCATCATATAAATGAGGATGTGGGCTTTGAACTGCTGCAGTCTTCAGATCTCCAGATGATCTTCCTCTTAGGAGAGGGCATATGCGACCCATTGACTACCTTGTTGTCTTCTAGGAATCTTTTTTGGGAGGAGTCACCATCTTGGCATGGGGCAGCTGGTAGCTTTGGGGGCATTAGCAGTGGCAGCCTGTGCTGTAGCATTGTAAACAACCCTACTGTAAGACCTGACCCCATCCTTTCCTCAACCTTTTTCAGCTTTCCCCATCCTTTTTCAGCTTTCCCCATCCTTTTTCAACTTTCCCCATCCTTTTGCAGTTGTGAATGCATTTCTTGGCAGAGATGACTACCTCATGGTATAGCAGCTTTGAGAGGTAGATTTCCTTCCCATTTGGTGGGAGCAGAAGAGAAGTATTCCTTCCAGGACCTTTTCCTCCAGTCTGCTGAAGGCCTCCTGAATGGTGCCGAGCACGCTCAACAGCTGTTGACCTCTGTGCAAGCTGATGGTGCTCAGCCCCTTGCAGAGGGTGCCCAGTGCTTAGTAAGGTTGGTCCAGGAGACCTACGCTGTAGTTGCAGTCCAGATCTCATCTCTTACTAATCTGTGCCCAAGTTCAGTCCATAATGAAATACTTCAATGGCTATACCCAGTGCAGAGGGTGCCGTCCCATCCCAGCTTCTGGGGGTCAGCATCAATATAACTAATGCTTTTGCCTTGCAGAAAGTCTGCTGGGGGAGGGGGTGAAGGGGATGTTCACATGTGGAAAAGGCATTAAAAAAAATTAAAAGCCAATCTGGAGCACCTAATCTCTTTCATACTAAACTGAATATCAAATGAAAATATGTAGGAAAGATTTTGAATTGAGAAAAATAAAAGGGTTTATCATTTGACTGGCATTTTCTCAGCAGCGCACGGAGATAGGGACATCCACTAAATAGTGCAATAATAATGCTTTCTCAATTAGGAGCCCAGCTCCGAGATAAAAAGGTGCAGTGTCCTTCCATGTTTTTTTTAATAGCAGATAGTTTTCAATAGTAGGATAAAAGCCTCACATTACAGCCATGGAGGGTAGCCATGAAAAACCCACAGAAGACATTCACTGGAAAGGCTTTAGTGGGATATACCAAACCCCTTATTTATATTTCAATAGAAAGGCTTTCTGCATTAGCCAAGAAAATCAGAATCTGCATTTAACATTAAAGGTATTTCCCAGTGAGCGGCTGTAGAGCATTGTTGTTAGATTTGTTAAAAAAAGAGACTAAATACGATTTCATAAAAGGGAAACTTAATCTCTAAGGCAGCTTTCTCCCACCCGGCCACCCCCTCCCTTTATTTTTTTATTTTTTTGGTAATAATGCATGAGCCTACAGTATTTTTACTTTATATGTGACGAAAGATATTCTTAGCCTTTCTGTACAGAGACAGGAAGAATGAATTTCTTTATTCCACCAAGAAATATGTAAAATAATCCCTTAGAAGTATGGGGAGATATGTTTGTTCAAAGCATTTAAAATGTTATTTTAATCAAAGGCACAAAACACTCTACATGCTGTGTCAGCTAAAGGAGACCATTACATTTTAACAGCAAATCGTGCTCTTTTTATTAAATAAAAAAGCAAAAAAGATTAAAGAATAAAAAAACTTCAGTGGCTCAAATGTATAAAGTAATTTAATATGGTGGAAGCATTAATTATTTTAGCTTAATTGAATTCTGAGGACTGCAGTAGTTGCATTTTTGTAGACAAGCTCTGTTTATTATTTCTTTGTGTAGATTAACAGTAAAGGAAACATAGATAACTTTCAGTTATTTATTGTAAAATAAATGTGTCAATTCATGTGTAAAGCAAGCTGTTCAAAGATAATTGAGTCTTTATATTTGAAGAGGGAAACCAGAAATCACCCACTCGCCACTCTGGCTCCCTGAAATATGCTGCCACCACTGCTGCCCTCAAATAGGTTTCAGCTCCTCTCCTTGATCTTGTGTTATTTTAGTAGACCTTCTTATTTGGTCAAAATGATTTGTGTGGCCTTCTGTGGTGTGATTAAACCGCCAAACCTTACAGATTCCCATGGCTGAGCGTAGCGAGGGTACATCAAGCGCTGAGCTTGGCTCTGCCGTTGCACCTCTCTTCCCTCTGGGTGTGAGGATGTTGGGATGCAGCACCGTGTGGAGCGTTCACCCTCGCACAGGGTGCTCCAGAGTCCTGAGTTCTTTCCTTCTCTCTTTCTTTTTGCCTTTCTTTCTTTCTTTCTTGGTAACTCTGCTTGGTCTGGTCACTGAATGCCTCTTGACCGTGTAACAGACCTTGTGCCGCTTCGAGGGAGGCAGGTAGAGCTCAGGAGTCTGCAAGAATTTGCATGCATGCAATGCAGATCTCCAGCTGACATTTCTAGATATCAATAAAGACAAAGGCACCTTTATGTCCGCAATCAGCTTTTAAAGACCTTTTGATAATGAAGTCTATCATGTTTCCCTGATTGATAACTTGCAAATCCATGCTTTTCAAGGCACTTTCACTTAGTTACCACTGTCCGTAAGGTGTGTGGTGGCATGTTAGCTGGCACTGGGGGGAAGTAACTTGCTTAGCAGCAGTTTTTCCTGTAAAGGTTTTTTTTTTCAAATTGGCTATGCTGTTTGAAAATCAGTTCTGCTTCTCGTACAGAGGGTGTGATAGTATCGAATAGATGTACCAGATTGTCGCACAGCAAAACACAGCCAGGCCAATGAGTTGGCTAGAAGTTATCAGTCACGGCTTCTTTCACTTCACCGCTGTCAGGTATTTTGGAAAAAATTAGACCACGGTTGTATTTTATACCTCTTTTTATCTTTCATATTTATCAGATCTTGGGCATAACTGGGTGACCTGTCCTGGCTGCAAAAAGGCCCTGGGGAGGTGGCTCCCGCTGTCCTTTGACTGATGGTATCTCCTGTCCTCCTCATGGCCCTGCTGGGCTCGCGGGCCACCAGGCTGTTCTTCAACATGGCTCTCTGAAATGATCCAGATTAAAGAAAAAGCACCAGTTGGCTTGTTTTTAATGCTGGGTGGTTTCAGAGAACCCTGGCAGAGGAGGGAGTCTTGGTGGGGCAGGCACCGCTTGGACCAGACTTTCTCCAGCTTCACTGGCTGGTCTGCATGCTCCAGGCAGCGTACCCTCATGGACAGAGAACGACACCAGCAGCAGAGGTTCATTAAGACAGCGTAGTTAATTTCTGCAAAGACGGTGCTAGGAAAGGGGAGGGGGTTGTTTGGAATTCCTCGTTCATCCTGTCCCGGCCGCCAGTGCTGGGCTCCATACATTATGTACTTGAACTAGATGTGCATCATGAAAAAAGGCTCCCTGTCAGAGGCAGGATTTAACTGCAACCCCTGCTCCATGAATGTTCATTTCAGGCTTTTGAATGGTAAAACTGCCAGTGAGAGAAACTAAATAACTCACATGTGCTGGAAGCCAGAGATAAACACCGCCGCAGGTTGCCATGAAATAGGCTATTTGATATATTTAGAATTGTTATTTTTCTCCAAATTAAGATTAGTTAAATCCATGTGTGTTGTGTGAGTGATTGTTAACTCAATGGCATGGATTATCCTTTTTTCAAATCATGACAGCTAATTATTATTGCTGTCTACCCTGAGACATTCACTTACAATGTACCATTATGGACCCGCGCACCCATATTAACTGTAGGACTCAGACAGCCATCGTGATGACTTCACACGTGAGGGGAGGAAAATGCGAGCTGAAACAACCCGAGGCCTGTGGCAGCGATGTTGGGCAGGTTGGG